AGCAATATATAGATAACATTCTTAAATGCATTATGCTAAAGCTAAGGCCTGCTTGGCTCAAATGTTTGATGCAATAAAGTAATTTGGCTTAATATAGAACTAATCAAGGCTCCATCTTGATGTGACCCAAGAAAATAACTATCTTCTAACAATCAACTTCACAAGCAGTAGATAATTATGCTTTCTCTTTTGCAAAAATGTGTATTTATAGTGTAGCAGATAACTGTGCACTGGATATATTCTTGGAAGCCAAGATAAAGCCCTTTTACTTTTCTGCACAAATAATCTGGTTTTGAAATGCATTCCAATATAAAAATGATGTTAATGAGTATGCTGCAGTAACCTCCAGTGGCAATACCATTGAAATTTATCAAGTAGGATTTTAAAGTGCCTACATCTTTATTTTTGTGATTTTCAAAAGGTCCATTTTGACCTCAAAGTGTTACTCTTGACTAAAATAACAACCTGTCCTTGAGTTTTGCCGAGTCTTCAAAAACTGATGAAAATTTTCATCTGAACTGAGACAGCCGTCTCAAGTCATGCATCTGGTTTGTCCGTCCATTCCCTTTTAACAGTTAATCTGCAAATGCAGTTCATCATCTAGACTGGAAACCAAAGTGTCCGTAGGCTCTGCAGTTGTTGATTTCAGTTGCCAGAAGATCAGAAGAACTGAAAAGTTTGCTGCTTTAAGAGTTTTATTCCTTTTGAGGCTTCTTTAAAGAATAAAACGTTACAAAATCTTCTTGCTAGCAGAAAAAAATATTTAACCCATGATTTTTTTCTTCGTACTGTATTATAGTGTTGCGACATTCAGGAGCTAACTATGATTATATAAACTACTAAGCCCTCATTCAGATGAACAATATAGTATTCAAAATTATAAAATGTTTGAAAATAACATGGTTATGGCAATGGTTTTGTTTTTGTTCCTTACAGTGGAACTATTCTTTGCTTAAAAGCTTTAATATCTTATGCAGGAGGGAATTTCTCCAGGGAAATTCACACACGTTAGTTAGAGGGAAGGAAAAATTCGTACTCATAAATTTTAATGTGTAATTTATTTGCTTGTTTCTGTGGATTAGTCTGAAGAAAAATGTGAAGGGCAAAGGCCAGCATGGCTTGATTAATGGTCCAAAAGGCTGTTCAGGGATTAGGAATCTGGATGAATTGTTTAAAAGCATCTAGAGTTTTAAGAACATCCTTCTAAATGTTTTAACTTAAAACAATACCTTTGTAAATTGCATAATAATAATTCTTACCATATGGTGAGCATAACTGTATTCAAAAGGCCTCGTTCCAATTTCACTTGCTCTGGTCTATTCAATATGTGGCAGTATACTCTTGTCATGTACAGCAGTAGATGAAATATAAATTGGTCACTAGAGATAAGAGAAACAAAAACATGTGCCTCTAACCCCTAGTTCATATCAACATTACAGTACTACAAAAGAAGTTATAAAATATTTGAAATTAACAAGGTTATGGTAATGGCACCTTGGCTGTCTACCTCTGTTTGTAACAACTAGCTAGGTCCCTAAGAGGTCACTAGCTAGAAGGAAAGTAAGATCTATCTCTAAGTCCAAATCAAAGATTACATTTTAGTTAAAGAATTGGCTGCATTGGTTACTCCTACCAAGTAGAGATTAAAGTTTGTTTTGCCGGCTTAAGCACAACTCAACAGAGTGAGAATATGCAGTGAGGCTCGACTGGAAACAAACCCCAGATAGCTGGTACACCTAACCAGGCATGCCACCTCTTACTAGCAGATAGTATTGTGATATGAGGACCTCCTGATTACAAATATTATACTTTTTCCAGTTATATTTAAAAAAATGCTATAGATAAATAAACAGGTACTGTCAAAGACACTGTGAGACAATAATTAATTTAAAGAAATATTTACTGACTGACTGTGTCTCATTCCACTCCTGTAATAGTACCTAAATCTAACTGTGGGGAGCTTTTTTCAGGTTAGAAAAAAAAAAACAAAAAACAAAACAAATAAAAAGAAAGAAAAAACAAATCTGAACTAAACAAAAAATCTAGGCAAGAACTTTTCCTGTTTTCACATAAACTTCAACCCCACCTTATTTAGATAAGCCTACAGCAAATAGGTTAATGAGGAACTTCTGACCCAGTGGCTGGGAAAACAACTCAGAATAAATGTACAAATATAGCATGAGTTTCCAAACGGGAATGATGCATAGATGTCTGAATTGTTTCTGGCACGGGAGCTCATGAATTATATTTCCTCATGAAGAAATCCATGAAGTAATTTGGAATTCTCCCAACAGAGCTATCAGGTACCATATATGTATTGGAAAAAACTTACATGAATATCTTGATATGCCGTGATCTTAATCCTCAGAACCAAAGATAACAAACTATATGTGATAAGAAAGCAGATGAAACATAAGAAAACAAATCTCTGAAAAATAAAAGAGAAAGTTGACCACAATGGACTAAGAGTAGTGTCATTTATCACAGCATTTTCAAACTGAAGTAAAGATTTCACATGGGGCAAGGCTTGACTCACCACGGGACATCAACACTGACATCGTGAAGCCCTTCCTGTATGACAGTGTCATAAATTCTGGAAAAAATACAGTTTCCAGAGAAGCAATCCTTCAGCATGGGTAAATGAGAAAATACAGAGCTCTATCAACAAAAGGAAATCAGCCAAAACAAAACTTCACTTCTCAAAAACGTTTTCAGAAACTCCAACAAGCCCACAACTCTTCTATGTGAAGCAAAATCAATAAAAATCACATCAATAAAAGCAATACAGAAAAATCCAAGAGGATGTACATGAATAGTAAAGAAATTTATACAAATGTTGAAAGATGTGATAGTAAACCACAAGGCCTACTACATTCATCTACAATATACTTAAATTATAAGGGCTAAATAAATTATGAAGCTTAACCCGAGAAAACTTTAACAACAGAATTAATAAGCCAAGTATGCTACAAAAGCATCTTAAAGAGAATAAAGACAGAGTTTAGCAAGAGCAGGGTAGATGTTAACCAGTCTTCAACCACATTTTCAGCCATAGAAGATTAATCAAAGATGCATCAAACAACAACAAATACTTAAAATATGCACTACAGATTTTAAGAAAGTATTTGATAACCTCCTTCTTGGAACACTGTATAAGCAAAAAGAAAATAAATATGATATGATGGTTTTATATCAGGTATAGCTTGCACAGACAGGGTAGACAGACAATGACAGACAACGTTAGCATTGATGTCAGAGAGGTTCTCTCAACGTGGCGTTTGGCACTGAATTTATAAGCTTTTAGGATGGAGTCGGACAGATAAAGTGAGAACAAAGTGGTCCCACAGCAGAACATTACTTGGGTTTTGCTAACAATACAACTCTTACATGAGACAACCAGCTAACAGGCAAACAAAACAGAAGTTTTCAGCACTGTAAAAAAAGATGGGTTAATAAGCAGTCATAAAAACCATACTGAGCACCCAATATTTTCGAATTTCGGCATTGTATTAGAGGGCAATGAGTATTAAGACAACTTGCTTTCCATGTACCTTCCTAGCAATATGCAGATCTGAGAAACAGTCAGATGGAAACTAACTGCATTATGAATTGGGAAGTCAGTTGTATCATTCATTAAATCAAATGAAATTTGGTTACTGCAAATTTAGGAACTGAAGACCAAAATAATCTTTGTTTCAAATGTAATTTCCAAATTCACATCTGAATGTCTCCATAACTTTAAAAGCAAGTGCCTCAGGAAAACAGTAAATATTGAGCAGGAATTAATTTATAACAAATCCATAGATTTTTCCCAAAGTTCAATAATTCCAGTACGTGCTAAGAATGAAACTACAGGCTGTATCACTGCCTGAAAGGAAAAACATGGAAAAGGCCAATGGAAGTAACTTGTGGTGGCAAGGTTCAGGGAAACTTAGAGAATATAAATGGGATGAAGAAAGGGGAATAGAAAAGTTTGGGCTTTTTTTTTTTTTTTTCCTAGTTCTTGTTTGACTGTATGGGAGTATCCAGATTCAGACAAGAAACAAACCATTGCGTATTTTGACCCTCAGATCTCTGCACTGTTATTATTACCTTTCATGCCTTGGGGAAAGCTCATTTTTGAAAGAAGCTGTTACGTCTCACAAAATCCCTCATTACAACTCTGAAGTTACTGCTGTTTCTTATGAATGCAGCTTCCTTTCACTTTTATAACTGAGAAATATTGACCTTGGGTATTTTGAACCTGCATTTATAAAGCTGATGATGCTGACAGAATGAATCACACACGCTTGCATTTCCATTTCATTCATATGTCTTTTGAATTGGGGTTTTTTTTACATATCCTATCCTGAATTTAGACCTTGGAAAATTGAATTGCTAGTTGAATTATAGTGCTAAGTGGCACTTTAGAATGCCTATTGAAAGTTCTTAGGTTTTTTTATTCACCATATGCAGTACTAATTTTTGAAAGTCATTAGGGTTAGCTTATTCTTCTGAAGAACTATTTTTGGAAATTAAGAATTCATCTTCCCTCCCCTCTCCCTGCAGCCCAGAAGACTTGTTTTTGCTGGTGAAGCGATAGATGCTGAGCACACGAGTGCCTGAGCCCCACAGTGACACTCAGCTGCTGGACAGGATCAGCCAGGGAATGCAGACCTGTTCATTGCAGAATTGGCCTGGCAGGTAACCTGCCGGGCAGGGTAATTTCTAGGCACAGGTGAAGCAAGCAGTTCTCTAAAAGCCACTGTAGGCCCACAACTTACTTTTGTCTTTGAGCCCTGAAAAGCTACAGTCATTGCTGCGTTGACAGGAGACCACTGGGTACATGGCAGGAGGAGGGGTGCTGGTAAGCCCTTCTCCTTCCACTGGAAGCAGAGCCAATGCTCCCACCTTCTCTTGCTGGCAGGCAACTCTTTGTGGCGGTTCTTTAGCTCGCCCCTGATCTCTGGCTTGGATTTTATCATGCTTCCTTCCGTTTTTTTTC